TTTTTGAAAGAGTTTCTGTAAAATTTGTATTATTTATTCCTCAAATATTTGATACAATTCACCAGTAAAGCCATTTGGACCCGGAAAACTCCTTGTGGGAAGGTTTTTATAATTAATTTGTAAAAATGTTCTTAGACATAGGGATATTCAGATTTTCTACTTCTTGTCTCTATTCCGGAAATTTGCATCTTTCAAGAAATTTTTCCATTTCATCTACATTGTTGAAATTATTGGCATAAAATTGTTTATGACATTTCCTTATTATCATTTTAATGTTTGTAGGACCTGTAGTAATATCTCCTTCTTTTTTTATTACTGATATTGGTAATTTGTGTCCTTTCTCATTTTTTTCTTGATCAGTCTATCTAGAAGATTTTTAATTTTATTGATTCTTTCAAAGAACCAGATTTTTTTTGGTTAGCTTTCTTGTTGTTTGTTTCTATTTCTTTGATTTTTTCCTTTTTAATCTTTATCATTTCTTCCTTTCTACTTTGCACATAATTTGCTCTTCCTTTTCTAGCTTTCTAAAATGGAAGCTTCAGTTTTTGATTTTACATTTTTCTTCTTTTCTACTATAAGCATTTAGAGTTATAAACTTCCCTCTAAGCAGCACTTTTGTTGCATTCTGCAAATTTTGGTAAGTTGTGCATCATTATTTAGTTCAAAATGTTTTTAAATTTCTCTCCTGATTTCTACTTTGCCCTATGGATTATTTAGAAGTGAATTTTTTAATTTCAAATATTTGGAGTTTTCTTGAGATTTTATTGTTGTTGAGTTATAATTAAATCTCATTGTAGTCAGAAAAAGCACTCTGTAAGATTGCAATCTTTTGAAATATATTGACTTGTTTTAGTCAGCATATCCTCTGCCTTTGTGAACCTGCTATATGAATTTAAAAGAATGTGTATTCTGCATTTGTTGGGTATGGTGTTCTGTAAATCACAATCAGGTAAAAGTGGTCGATAGTTTGATTTAGCTCTTCTATATCCTCAATGATTTTATTTCATTTTTTTTGGTCCAGCTAGTCTATCAATTACTGAGAAGTATGTTAAAGTCTCTAACTGTGATTGTGGATTTATCTATTTCTTTGTCAACATTTACTTGATTATATTGAAGCTCTATTAGCTGCATAAATATTTATAGTTATTATATTTTCTTGATGTTTTGCCATTATGAAGTTTCCTTCTTTATATCTAGTAATATACCTTATCTTGAAGTCTATTTTATCTGCTATTAATGTAGCCACTCCTATTTTTTTGTACTTACTGTTGGTGTGTTATATCTTTTTCAACCCATTTACTGTTAACCTATTTGTTCCTATGTATTTAAAGAATATTTCTTATAGATAGTATTTAATTGGTTCTTGCTTTTTTATTCAATCTGAAAATCATGCTTTTGATTGGAATATTTAATCAACTTAAATTTGGTGCAGTTACTTAAACAGTTGATTTTAGGTATACCATTTTGCTATATATTTTCTTTGTCTCATCTCATCTGTTTGCTTGTTTGTTCCTCCTGTCCTACCTTTTTTGTGTTGATCAAATATTTTTTTTAATATTTTGCTTTAATTCCTCTATTGGCTTTCTACCTATCAAGCTAATTGTGGCATTTTTATAGTGGGTGTTCTAGAGGTTACACCATACATCTTTAACTTATCCCAATTATTTAGAGTTCATATTGAATTCCTTTAAGTAACACATAGTAATCTTGCAACAGTATATTTTTATTTTCTTGCCTCTCCCACCATTCTTAGTGTTACTGTGGTTGTATGAATATGACATCAATATATATTCTCAACTCAACAATATAGTTTTATCAGTTTATTTTTTTATTTTTTTATTTTTTTTAATTTTATTTATTTATTTTCTTTTCCCCCAAAGCCCCAGTAGATAGTTGTATGTCATAGCTGCACATCCTTCTCGTTGCTGTATGTGGGACATGGCCTCAGCATGGCTGGAGAAGCAGTGCCTTGGTGCACGCCCGGGATCCGAACCCGGGCCGCCAGCAGCGGAGCGCACGCGCTTAACTGCTAAGCCACAGGGCCGGCCCGATAGTTTTATCAATTTTGCTTAAACCGCCATGTGTCTTTTAAAGAAGTTAAGAGAAGAAAAGAAAAAGTGTTTGTGTATGTGTGTATATATATTTAGTTCTTTTTATTTATCCACACAATTTCCATTTTGGGTGTCATAATTTCTTCCTGTAAATCTGAGTAGCCACCTGATGTCATTTCCCTTCAGCCTCAAAAACTTCCTTTAGTGTTTCTAATAGCACAGTTCCGCTGGCAATGAATTATCTTAGTTTTGTTTATCTGGCAATGCCTTAATTTCTCTTTCATTTATAAAGATAAATTCTTTGGATACATAATTCTTGGCTGCCAGTTTTTTCTCTCTCTTCAGCAGTTGAAATATGCCATTCTAATTTCTTATGGCCTTCATTATTCTGATGTGAAGTCAGCCATTAATCACATCATTATTCTCCTACATATAACATGTCATCTTTCTCTAACTGCTTTAAATATTTTCTCTTTATCTTTGACTTTCAGCTTTTGACTATGATGGTTTATTCTTCCTGGGGTTTGCTGAGTTTCCTGGAGTTGTATGTTAATATTTTCCACAAAATTTGGGAAGTTTTAGGCCATTATTACTTTAAAAACTTTTCCTGCTTCTTTCTCTGCCCTCATCTTCTCTCATTCCAATTTGAAATCATTCTAATTTCTGTTTTGTGTCTCTTGATAGTGTCCAATACATCTCTGATGCTCTGTTCATTATTCTTCAATCTTTTTTCTCTTTGTTCTTCAGATTGGCTAATTCCTATTAATCTCTTTTTAAATTCATTGATTCTTTCTCCTGACACTGCAATCTGCCTTAAACTCAACTAGTAAATTTTTCATGTCAGTTATTGTGCTTTTGAGCTCTAGAATTTCCATTTTTTTTAGTTCTCATTTCTCTATCGAGATTTCCTAACTGCTCGTTCGTTCAGACCATTTTCCTTGAATTCTTTGAACATTTTATAATAGCTGGTTTGATGACTAATTGGGCCAACATCTGGGCCCAATTAGAGTCAGTTTTCATTGACTTTCCTGAGTTTGGGTCACATTTTTCTGTTTCTTTGCATGTTTAGTAATTTTTGTTTGAAAAGTGAACATTGTAGAAAACACAGTGTAATGACTCTGGATTCTGTCACATTATTCTGGGTATTTTTATCATTGTTGTTGTTGTTGTTGTTTTATTAGGCAGTTAATTTGCTTGGAGTCAAACTGAAAACTTTGTCTTCCCTGTGGTATGTAGTTGTTGATATCTCTCTTATGAGTTCCAGCTGCTGAAAATTCAGAGAACTCACCTTGTACAGCTCTATCTTTAAAGGCTAGCTGCCTTTCCGGCCATTCCCTGCATTTTTGGTGTCTCTGTCAGATTCTCCCCCACAGATGCGCACTTTAGTGGTCAGCCAGTGATTTGGGCAAAATTTATACTCAGATTTTTGAACTTCATTCCTTTTGCCATTCTCTTGCTTACAGATTCCTCCTTAAAGTTTCCCCCATACTCTGTTCACTGCACTTTGAGCCTGTAAGGTGACTGATGTTTTCCTTTGGCCCAGCCAGGGTGGTTTGGCAACATCTTCAGGCAAGATAACTGCAAACTCCCAAGTCTTACCCCTTCCGGTTGCAACTTTTTAAAAGTAAACTCTCTGCTGGCTTCTGTCTGCTTGTGGATTTTTTCTCATTTCTATAAATAAATGTTTTTTATATTTTGTATAGACTTTGTAATTATCATCTATGGGAGTATTCATGTAGCCATTCCACTCTACCGTCATTACTAGAAATGCTTGTGTTTATGTCTTTAGTCTTTATCTTCTTTATGGTTCTGTAAACTCCACGAGGGCAGGTAAGTCCTTTGTCTGTTGCTGTATACCCAGGATTTAATGCAGAATAAATGCTTAATAAATATTCATTATATGAGTAAATAGAGATTCAGAGTGCTACTACAATCGCACAATTAATTGCTCAGGTGTGCATTCACAAACATTTGCTGGTTTTATTAACTTCTCATAGTCCCAGTCACAGTATCTGTTCCTTGAGGAGCTAATCCTTGTTTTTTTTACAAGCTTTTTGGTTACTTACTGGAACAGCAAGTGAGGGGACCATGCTTGTTAAGTGGAGTTTTCTTATATGACCAATAAGAGAATAGACTATAAGCAAATCAAGTTGTTTCAACTTCTAGAAAAAAGAATATACCACCTGTGAGTATTGACAGTGGTCTTGGAGATTCTCAGAGGCTCCCGAATATGAGTGGATGGTGGCTTGACAACCACAGGCATTCTGCTTCTCTCTTAAGGCTTGCTTTAAGCTCAGGCTGCACACACTGTCACTTCCTCGAGTGAGGAATAAGCCTCCCCTCCAACCTCCACTTTGGACCAGGAGCTCAGCCTACAACCAACACCACAACATCTAGGCACCAGCCAACCTAGGAATCAGATGCGTTTTAGTTAGGTCAGGTGCTCATTAAACAAACAAACTGAAAAAACAAAAACCTCCCTTTATACAAGATAGGATCTTTTAGATTGCAGCTGAGTTTTGCTCTTCAGTGGTGGCTGCATTTCTATTTTGGACAAGAGACGATTATCTACCAAGTGTGCAATTCCATTGGGGGCCTGGAATTAGAGACAGTGTATCTACATTAAATATAAGTAATTATTATTACTGTTTTTTACTTTTGGATGTGATTGCTATTTTGTTTCTACTTTAAGGTCCTCACATGAAGAGTTCTGTATGGGTGTTACTGGCTGCATGTTGGGAATGTTATATATTTAAACAGTTTGCAGTTAATTAAGAGTATTGACTTGGAACTAAATCAGTGGTCTCACACAACATCTGTGCTCTCTGCCTATCTGTCTATGTATTTAGATGGCGCCTATCACTGTGGTATCTAAGTGCCCAGAAAATCTAATTAGGCTAATTTCAATTTCCTCTTTGAGGGAGAAGAATCTACTTCTCTTCATCACCGTCTCTGCCAGAGCCTTCTTGAAGGGAGTTGTTATTATTCCTCGAAGAGAAAGGCAGTTGAAAGAGAGCCTCAAGCAAGAAACAGCATTTCACACCTTACTTGAAAGTTGGGGTTTTGGCTTCTAGAAGCGTTTTCAGCTTGTAAACAGCACCAGAAAGGCAAAAGGGCGGTCAGGGCTAAAGAGTCTGTGAATGTGATAAAGGAGGAAGAACACTGGAAATTTCCTTGCAAGCTCTGTGTTAAAGAATTTGCTAGTAGGTTACGCTTGGTTGTGCACGCACAACGTCCTAGGCCATCACCACCTGACACACGCATCGTTTTTATTTATCAAAGAAACATAAAGGCGGTGTTCTCTTTCCAACAATGAACAAGTGCTGTTGTTCTCCTGTCTGTGGGTCTCTGTTAACATTCCGACATCTTAATTTCTGTGTTGAAGAAAACTGCCTGATTTCATTGGTTTTCAATGCCGTGCCTGCAGCTAGGGGTATGAATAAGGCAGCAGCAAAATCATTATGAGCTCCATTTTGCAGTTTTAACACACACAGGCTACTCTTCAGGCGTGAGTTTAAAGGAATAAATTTGTGCACAAGCACAGAATTGCAGTCACAAAGCAGAGCTTGTTAGGTGGAAAGGAGAAAGGATCAGAGATGACCAAATATGTTTGTCTGAGCTGGGTCAGCAGTTCTTGTGATGGAGTTTGAAGGAAAAAGAGGGGTAAAAAGAAAATTACCACTTCACCTCACCTCAGTCACAGGTCAAAACCAACATGGCTGGTTGTTCCCATGTTTTTAATATCCAAGTTGTTTTTTCACTCTTTGCTTGGAATTTGTGTCACTTAGACTATCCAAGAAAGTGGTGAGAATGTTTGGCTGGGAATGCTGAGATTAAGTTCATTGCAAAAGAGGGAATTTAAACATATACTCCTTCTGGTAAGGAAAATTAAAAGGATTATGGTAGTAATGAGAATTTGGGATAGAAAGATTGACACCAGAATTGATAGGGTGGCAGCACTTGGGCCTGTGACTCACCTCCAAGCTCCCTGTGGTATTTGGACAGGCATCATGGAGACTGTGCATGTCAGTCTGGGATCACATTAAAGCTGTTAGTGGGTGTCCAGCATTAAAGAGATTTTACAACGTAAGGATAGGCCAGGTTACCACAAGAAACTAAAGCCATTCCTTCACCCTAACAACTTCAAAGACCTGCCCTTGGAGCAATGGTGTCTTTCCAGAGCTAGCATTCTGAAAGAGAGTGCTGAATGTGGCGGTGCCACAGATATGAAAAGTGGAAATGACCACGTGTAAATGACCACATGGAAAGAGGGGAGCACAGTCCTTCCTCTATCCCTTTACTGAGCATCACTCAGCAGCATCATAACTGGCTGAAAATATTCTATGAAGGACCCCTAAATAAATGAGCCATTTCAATGTCCCGCTTTTCAAATGAGCACAAAAAGTGGTTTGGAAGCTTAAGCTTAGGCCTGACTCAGCTGACATTCTAGATCTGGAAAACCCAGACTAATTTCAAGCTTTCTTTGGGAGGGTGTGAATTCCCCTGTGAGTTGCTTCTCTACCAAAAGTCCTTGAATAAACACATTCAAGGGGATGCAGCCATCACCACAAGCTGTAAAATGTAGGATAGTCTAACTGCTGTCTCCCGAGACTCATTGGATAACCTTCCCTGTGTCCCTGACTTTTTAATCTGTAGCACAGATTACACTCAGGTCCTCTGTTCTGTATGTGGGGTGACAATAGGGGCAATACCTAATCTGGACCAGAAATCTTTTGGACTATTTAATATTCAGCGTTTCTACCACGTAATGCAACTACTACTTTATATATTCAGGTTACATAATGCTTTTGGAGTAATTCAATGTGAACCCTTCAAGAAGAAGAAAATGTACCAGATAGGTTTCTGAGGCCATGCAGGGATGGGGGCAAGAAATAGGTTTAAGATTCCATGGGGTATGAAAACACCAAACAAATAACACCTTCTTCCCCACCTGAGTTCTAAACCACTTGAGAAATAAGATTAAATGTATGACAAGAGACAAAAATATTACGTTTTTTTTAGCCAACCCTGGTGGTCTAGAGGTTAAGATCCTGTGCTTTCACCACCTCAGCTCAGGTTCATCTCCCAGTGAGGGAACCACACTACGCATCTGTTGGTTGTCATACTGTGGCGTCTGCATGTTGCTGTGATGGCAAAAGCTATGCCACCAGCATTTCAAATACCAGCAGGGTCACCCAAGGTGGACAGGTTTCAGCGGAGCTTCCAGACCAAGACAGACTAGGAAGAAGGACCTGGCCACCCACTTCTGAAATAATTGGCCATGAAAACCCCATGAATAGCAGCAGAGCATTGTCTGATATATGTCTGCTGTCCACAGGGTCACTGGGAGTCAGAATCAACTCGATGGCACTGACAACAAATGTTGATACTGGAGAATGTGGCTTATATCTTCAGGCAAGAAGGCCTTGTAATATAGAGCCCCAGAATTAGATTTTCTAGGTGGATCATATAGACTGGATCACCACTAGCTCCAACACCTGGGAGCCTTCCCTATAACACTGGAGACTGAAGAAGCAGGGCAAATGCTTGCTTCCTATGGACAATTAGCTCTCAAGGAAAGGAAGAGAGAAAAAGGCCGGGAAACACACTCAGTTTCTTCTTGCCAACTCATTCTCACATGATTGATTCCACCCTCCTCCCAGGGGAAGAGTGGGGGACAGGATGGAAAGAGGCCAGGAGTGTTATGTGCCCTCCCTGTGGAAGGAAACCTTAAGAACAGGAAAGAAGCATTCCCCCCTAACATTAGATAGTCCTGGAGGGTATCTGGGTCTTTTCAAGAAGACGTCTTATTTTTACACCTCCCCCAGAGGAGGCAATGTTGCCTGACTCCTAACCACCCTTAGGAGTTAGGCCTAGAAGCTTGGTATCCAGGGATTTTGCAAGGTCAGCTTTGGGGAAATATCTCAGCCTTTCTGGGGATTTTAAAACAGCACCAAGAGAAGTCAGTCAACCCACTCACCCCAGTAACCCCAGTATTATTCTTGGTTTTTGATTGCTGTGATATGTTCAAAGTTATTCATTCTTTTCTGAATTTTGGCGGGCAGGACCATATTTATCTGGATGAGAGAAAGAAAAGCTTCATTCTAGATTTTATCACAGTGGCAATGATCCTCTTGGAAGTTGTACTCACTTATCGGGAACTTCAGGAGTCATTCACTCATTCATTTATCCATCCATCTATTCAGTCAATTATGCATTCATTTTTTTCCTCTTTTTTTTTTTGTGAGGAAGATTAGCTCTGAGCTAACATCCATGCCAATCCTCCTCCTTTTTTTCCCTTTTTCTCCCCAAAGCCCCAGTAGATAGTTGTATGTCATAGTTGCACATCCTTCTAGTTGCTCTATGTGGGACACCGCCTCAGCGTGGCTGGACAAGCGGTGCATCAGTGCTTGCTCGGGATCCAAACCTGGGCCACCAGTAGCGGAGCAAGTGCACTTAACCACTAAGCCAGGGTGCCGGCCCCTATGCATGCATTTTTAAAATTCAATAAGAATTCATTGAGTTTTTCCTATGTACCAGGCACTATACTAGGCACTATACAACTAAGTCAACTCTGTTTATGCTAAGGGTGCTCAGTAAGGCATATAGGTAGTCCTGGAAGAGCTAGGACGTTATTTTGGCTAGCATCCCACCACGGACTAACGTGTCCATCTATCTCATTTAGATCCCAGTATGCACTGAGGTTTGCAGTTAAGAGACATAAATATCCTGATTTGATTTCTCCAAATAAAGTATGTTACTTTAGATATATAGCACTAAGATATTTACATCTGTCTTCCAAAAGATTTGTACAAGAATTTTCATAGCAGCTTTATTTATAATGGCCCCCAACTGGAAACAACTCAAATGTCCATCAACAGGTTAAGGAATAGAATAACATTCAGGAATAAAAAGGAACAAACAACTAATACGTACAACACAGATGAATCTCAAACCATTACACCATTATGCCAAGCAAAAGAAGCCAGATTAAGGTGCCGTCCTGGTGGTGTAGTGGTTGAGTTCATGTGCTCCACTTCAGTGGCCCAGAGTTCACAGGTTCAGATCCTGGGCGCAGAAGCATGCACCACTCATCAAGCCATACTGTGGCAGCATTCCACATGCAAAATAGAGGAAGAAGGGCACAGATGTTAGCTCAGGAACAATCTTCCTCAAGCAAAAAGAGGAAGATTGGCAACAGATATTAGCTCAGGGCCAATCTTCCTCACCAAAAAAAAAAAAAAAAGCCAGATTAAAAGAGCACATGCTACCTGATTCCATTTATGTGAAGTTATAGAATAGGCCAAAATAAGTTATAGTGATAGAAATCAGGTCAGTTGTTACATCTAGAGGTCAGGGATGGGGAGATTAACTACAAAGGGCCACAAGGAAGCTTAGTGGGGTGATGGAAATGTGCTGTATTTTAATTGGAGTGTTTGTTACACAGCTGTATGCATTCATCAAAACTCACAAAGTGGTACACTTACTGTATACACATTTTATTATGTGTAAATTATACATTAAAAATGTAAATATACAAAAGGGTACAAATTGATCAGAGAATAAAAGCACTATCAAACATATTTTAAAAAATGAAATCTATCAAAAACACTTCAAATGTTTCCTATTTGAACTGCACTAATTTTTCACAACTTACATAAGCCATGATTTGGAATCCCAAAATACAGAATGTTTTTCTTCCTATTACCAAACTTATGAGGGTAAAGTTTTATTAAAGAAATGGAATATAATAGACAAAATGTGCTTCTTATTAAATATTTACCTTAATAGGTAAAGAAAACTAGAGACTGTTATAATTAGAGAGAACACAGTGAGTCTTTATATGTCTACATCTATAGCTGACTTTGTTTTCATATAAATTTAAATGATAGTAATTGCCTTGCTATGTGAGTTTGTGAGTGTGTGTGTGTGAGTGTACAAGCAACACAGATAGATAAAAGAAAAGCAAGCAGGAGAAGCATAATTAGCATAACTTGAAGAACAGGATGAAATTATTTCAAGAATGTTAAATTATAATCATTTACAAAAAGAAGATATATTATTGGTTATTTTCATGTGTATTAATTGACATTCAAGCCATCTGTATCATTTACTCAAATATATTTAATGGGGATCATAAATATCCCTCTGCTGGCTAGAAAAGAGCCATATATCAGAATAGATGACAATCTTGGGGCTATCGTTCAATGACTTGATATTAAAGACCGAGCATTTTCTTGAGGTTATTACAGTTTTATTTTAAACTTCTTTTGTAGTAATGTATAGTAGCATATAAAATTCATTGTCTTAACGGATTCTTAAACACCCTACAAAAAATCTACTGTCAGTATAGTGAATGCTGATCTGCAGTGAAGTCTATTCCACAAGCTATAGTTAGTTTTTGAGCTTTTAATAATATGCTTTGTTCTAGAACGCTGGTCAAATTTCAGTACCTAGAAATAAAAATGGGAATTGTTATGAACCCATTCAGCTTCCATATCACAACTTTTTTCTCCAGTAGTTGTGCAGACATTTCTTGGAATTCATAGAAGAGTTTCAGTTCCATTATTAATGAAAGTTAGCCAACTTTCACTCTGATGGTTTTCTCAATATGTCACAGTTATCAGCATGCCTGAACAGAACTACCAAAAGTGCTTTGAAATGAAATCGCATGTTAAAAGAAAAGCAGTGTGTGACTTGGTTTGTTTCAGCTTGGCCTGGGAGGGCTCAGGGAGAACTCTACACTGGGCTCAGGACACCTCACCTCACCTCACCCTGGCTTCGGAGACTTCTCAGTGCCCTGTAGTCTCTCTCTAGGGCTGCTGTGGTGCTGGCATCCTAGTGGGCTCACGAGGACCGGTGATTAGCTTACATCGTGGCAGGCAGGGTTAACTCTCATCATATTCAGAAACAGAGATGAATATTTCTTTAAATAGAATGAAAGTATGGATTTAATAGCATTCTCACCATTGTCTGGAATAATTTGTTTGGGTGTATGTTTACAGTTCTCTGATCAGCAAAGCAGACTTCCGGGTACAGACCACCATTTTGAACAACCCAGTAGAAAACAGGGGCCATTATTCCTTCACCCTGATTACAGATCATCCACTGGTCTCATTTGTAGAGTTTCTAATGTTCACTTTTGTCTCAAAATGGTGTTGGAATCTGTGTCTTTAAGAACAAGGACTGTTTCAGATTTGGTGAGAATAGATAAATGATCTCTCACTTCTGATGTTGAACTCTGAGTTCAGTTAGTGGTTCGATGTGACTGGCTGAGCTTGGATTGCTTCTCAACCCTGCCTGTATGTTGGGATCTGCTGGAGAGCTTTTAAAAAATCACTGATGTCCAGGCCCCACCCCCAGAGAACTCATTTAATTGGTCCAGGGTGGAGCTTGGGCACTAGTAATTTTTTAAAAGCTCCCCAGGTGATCTTAGTGTGTACCAGGGGTGAAAACTACTGGTTTACAGCAAAACAGTTATAGCCATATAGCAATAGCAGAAAGGGGGCCTGGGACTGAGTGTGGCAAAGAACAAGAATGTTCGTGTGGCTTCTACAAATCTAGCAAACACCCACAACGAGGTTCTGGAGGTGCAAACATGAATCAGACAGGGCTCTGCCCCAAGGGGCTCATGGACCATGAGGGAGGAAGACTCATAACTCATGACTAGAGTAGAGGAGGGTAAATGCCCTCTGAGCAGGGGCAGGTAGGGAAGCAAGGCTTTGTCCGTAAATGAGAGGGAAGTGAAGCGTCCCTGGATATTATCTAAGCCAAAGCTAAAAGAATCACTCTTACTTAGTTGAATCATGCCTTAAATACTCTTGTTTACATTGTTCGTTCATTTGATCTTCACAACCACCCTGAGAAGAAGGTATGACCTTGTTGCAGACTGCATGTTGAAACCTTAACCCCCAAATGGGATGGTATTAGGAGGTGGGACCTTTGGGAGTTAATTAGGTTTAGATGGGGTCATAAGAGTAGAGTCCCCATGATGAGATTAGCATCCTTATAAGAAGAGGAAGAGTCTAGAGCTCACTATCTGCCATTTGAGGACACAGCAAGCCGGTAAGCTTCTAAGTCTGTAAGCCAGGAAGAGGGCCCTCACCAGAACCCCACCACGCTGGCACTCTGATCTTGGACTTCTAGCCTCCAGAACTGAGAGGAAAAAATTTCTGTTGTTTAAGCTACATATGCAACAGATGAGGATGTGGAAATAGAGAGATGTTGAGGATGTGGCCTACAATCACAGCCTGAGAGGCAGAGACAGTAATAATCCCAACAGGCATTGGCTAGATGCTTCATATTGCATGGCCTCATTCAGTCCTCACTGTATAACCCCATAAAATAAGTAGTCGTGACCTTTTATAGATGCACAAACTGAGGCTCAATCTCATTAAGTAACTTACCCAAGAGTAAGGTACCCCTTACTAAGTGTTAAAGCAAGATGTATTAGTTTCCTGTTGCTGCTGTAAGAAATTACCACAAAATTCATGGCTTAAAACAACACAAATGCATTGTCTTATGGTCCAGGAAGGTCAGGAGTCTAAAATGGGTTGGCAGGGCTGGTTTCTTTTGGAGGCTCTAGGGGAGAATTTATTTCCTTGACTTCTCTAGCTTCTAGAGGCTGCCTGCATTCCTTGGCTCATGGCCTCTTCCTCCATCTTCAAAACCAGCAGCATAACCCCTTCAAATCTCTCATCTCTCGTTGAGCTCTCCTTCCATTGTCACATCTCCTCTCACTCTGACTCGCCTGCCCCCTTTTTCCCTTATAAGGACTCTTGTGATTAGATAGGACTGACCTAGATAATCTGAAATAATCTCAAGATTTTTAGCTTAGTCATATGTGCAAAGTTCTTTTTGCCATGTAGGGTAATATATTCACAGGTTCTAGAGATTAGGATGTGTTCTTCTTTGTACTGGGGGGAAATTATTCTCCCTACCACACAGGGACAAACTCAAACCCAGGTCTGACTCCAAAGCCCTTAATCCCTGTATGATAGTCCTTATCCCCTTTTCCAACCTGTGTACACGCACATACACACACACGTACATCTAGAAATGAGATCTCTTGACTTCCCCAGAATGGAATCTTTACCCTTTCCAATACTGTTTGATTCTTTCATACAAAAATTTCATGGCCTGAGTTATTGTAATAATTGTTTCAGTGCCCCCTTTCATCAAGAATGTGGTCATGTAGGTTCTGATGATTGAAAGTGCTTGGGAGGAAGCTAGACCTAACACATGAAGTTTTGTAATTACAATAAAAAGAAGTTTTGAAGTCCTTAAAAGGGGATGGCTTGGTCCTTGGCCTTCATTATAGCAAATACATGTGCATTTCTACCAATATTTATCTCATGCTGCTTGGACTCAATTTTTTATTAATGACCCAGAATGTCTCTTCTTGCTGCATCTCCCTAAATTTCACAAATAGCATCTGCCATGCCTGGGTTGTTTTTTATGACTCTGGCTGAATGACGTCTGTGATCTTCTTTCTGAAGTTGAGGGCTTAAAACAAGGGGAGAAGGGGCCGGCCCAGTGGCGCAGCGGTTAAGTTTGCATGCTCCGTTTCTGCGGCCCGGGGTTCACAGCTTCAGATCCCGGGCATGGACCGACATGCCTCTTGTCAAGCCATGCTGTGGTGGCGTCCCATATAAAGTAGAGGAAGATGAGCACAGATGTTAGCTCAGGGCCAGTCTCCCTCAGCAAAAAAGGAGGATTGGCTTTGGATGTTAGCGCAGGGCTAATCTTCCTCACAAAAAAATAAGGGGCGGGAGGAGAGGTTGAAGAATAAACCTACCTTCTGACACTGTTGAAACTTCTCAGCCCAACTCCCTGAGCTTCGCTGAGAAGAAGCCAGACCTCATTTGAATAAATGCAGAAGGAGCAATTTTGCCCACTGCCAAAAAGGGAGTGATAATATTTACAAGAATGTTAAATACATTTTTCACGACTATCAGTAATACGTTCTTCGACTTTCATAATGCAGACCTTGAAGGGGTGGATTTAATTGAGACTACTTTAGACAATATTAAAAGTAACCTGAATTTAATTTAGTATGCCGGTAATATAATACTCAACAGCAGCCATTATACCAAGGATGATTAGAAACAAATAGTGAGTTCACTGATGTGGTCTCACTCATACTGTATCATAGTCTATTAAGTTTCTGATTTTCATTCTTAGTTTGTTTCTTTTGAGACACCTAACATGGGAGAGATGAGTTTTTGTGTTTGGCCCATAGTTGGCCCTCAGCCAACGTTAAGTGGTAATAATGTGCAGGTGAGTGAGGGGTTAACAAGCACTTTAATTTGCATGTAGGTTTACCTAAATCTAAAGTAGAACTGACTGTTGAAAAGGATCAGACAGTGAGGACAGTGTACTGTGGAGGAGCCCCATCCACAAGAATGGAGAAAACATCTCCGTGGATGATGTTGGAGGACTCACTGGAGACTGGTATGCGGCCTCGGGCAGGTCTGTGTAAGCAAGTTGAGCCTCTGAATCTGTTTATTCAGCCTTGCCGTTAGTGCAGGAGCAGATTCTACCCATCTCTCAAGCCATAGTCAATATTCTCCTTCTTCCAGATGATGTTTTTTCATCCCACCAAACCTAAGTCTTTTCTTCCACCTTTGGATTCTCATAGCACTTTGTCTGGTTGACTTGTATTCATTTGCTTCGGCTGACATAACAAAGTACCACAGACTGGGTGGCTCAAACAATAAAAATTTATTTTCTCACAGTTCTGGAGGCTAGATGTTTGAGATCAAAGTGGCAGCTAGATGTTTGGTTTCTTCTGAGGCCTGTCTCCTTGGCTTATAGATGGCTGTCTTCTCCCTGTGTCCTCACACAGTCTTCCCTCTGTACCTGTCTGTGTCCAAATTTCCTCTTCTTATAAGGACATCAGTTATATTGGATTAGGGCCCTCCCTAATGACCTCATTTTAACTTTATTTCTTCTTTAAAGACCCTATCTCCAAACACAGTCACATCCCGAGGTACCAGGGGTTAGGGCTTCCACATATGAATTTGGGGGGGACACAGTTCTGCCCACGACACTCTCATGGCACTGGTCTCCTCAGCTTTGTAGTATCGTTGTTTATTTACCCGTTGTTTCTCCTCTACTAGACGGCAAGCAAAGAAAGGAGGTAGGAGGGAGGGGGAGAGGAAGGAAGACAGGGCTTAAACAGACATGAGACACACCATTCAAATCTTAAACAATCATGCAACTGAACAAAAATAAAGACCAATGAGCTATAAAGTAGTAGATTGTGGAAATGTAAATAACTGAGGAAAAGTCTTCAAATTTACCAGAGCTACTCAACTGGAAAAAAAAATGTCTGCCAGAGCACATGGACACCCTCTTAGAGAATGTTATTAGCAGATCTAAAGGGAGTAGGCTTTCATCTGATTCTGGGCAGTGTGTTTGTGTCGGAATAGACGTGGTCTCATTTGCCTGAAGCAAGAAGGCGTTGAGTACTGAGAAGGCTGTTAGACGGTCCCGAGCTCTCCAGCACCCTTGTGCTTCCTGCCTTTGTTCTGTTCTCTCTGGAGGCCCTGTGCAAAGCCAGACTTTTTGTTGCTTCATCCAACTGTGCAGTCCTGTGATGTGGGCCTCTCCAAGTCACCCTGCTCAGCCGGGCTGTGTTTCAAGGGATCAGGAAACCGTTTTCCATCCCAGGAGCCAGCCTCCAAGTTAGAAAGTTCTGTGGTTTGGTTTGGATTTCGCTCATCCCTACAGAGAACTTGGTCTGCCAATCTCTACATACATGTCAGCATAAATAGCAACAGATGTACCTTCAACATGTAAAATCTCCATAAAATATAATAAACTCTGTTTTTCCATTTGGGATGAGTCATTAACCATATGTTTGTGATACTCTTTCATTTGCAGATCTGAGGCACACATTTCACCTTGCAGGAGACCAAGAGCTATTTCTTTTTAGGAGGTTCCTTCTGTCTCGAGAATTGATTCAGCAACGCCGTGGTCTATTTCCGTGGGTATCTTGAAGCAGCCCGTGGAAAATGTATGGAATTTTCTTTATGTGAGCTGCATGGCGAGCCTCGGCTCTGCCTTGGAACTATTCTTGGCCAGAATATTTGAAAACCCGCTCTGGTGCTCGGAGTACTGCTCATGTGACTCTCGGTGGCTGGCCCCTTGCAATGCAATATGCTGATTTCAGAAGAGTTTGTTTGGTTTCTGATACTTCAGAGAGAGAAATGTGGTACTTGGCGAGGCTGCAAGCAGGGAAGACAGGAGTTGAGTAATTAGTGGATGTCGTTTTGCAGAGACAGTAGGAGAGTCTTTTCTTTGTTTTTGTCTTGTGTGAAAGAGTTGTATGCAAGTGCTTTTTGTGCTTAGGTCTCTGCAAGTAAGCTGTCCTTGAGGAATTTTGCCTCCTATCAAAGTTAGTATTTTCTGAGAATTTAAATTTTTCTCTTCTAAAAGACAGACTAAACTTTCATTGTGAAAGATTTTGAAAATACACAACATAAGGAATATGAGCCCTCATATACTTATCACCCAGAATAATTATTAACATTTGCCACACTTGCCTTTTTTTATCCATTTTCTCTTTCCTTTTTCTTTCTTTTTGTTTGTTTCTTTAAAGTACTTTTTAAAAAACTCTCACGTCATGTCAGATGATTTCTGACCCTTATGCATAAGGAATTTCACTCTTATGCATCTCCAAATAAAGACACTTTCTTACAAACATAATACTGTTTTCACAACTAACAAAATTAACGATAATTCCTTAATATCGTCTAATGCCAAGTCCGTATTCAAATTTCCTGGATTATCTCAAATACGTCATTTTACAGCTGGTTTGTTGAAACCCAGATCTAATCGATGTCCATTTGATGCATTTGGGTGTTTTATCTCGTAAGTTTACCCTTTTATACTCAAATAGTTCCCTTGTGTTTTGGGGGGGTTTCCCCAAAAGCAGGCTTTATGATAAGGACTTGGGTGCAGGTATTTTGGGGGAAGGTGGTGGCAGGAAGCAAGAATGAGAGAATAGGAAAA